CAGTCAAAAAAAAAAAAAGCCTTCTGCCATTTTGGGGCCGGGGCGATGGCTCAGTGGAATAAGCACTTCTCTGGCAAGTGCAAGGGCCTGAGTTCAATCCCTGGTTCTGAGAAAAAAAAAAAAAAAAAAGCATGGTTCATAGCCAAATCTTGGAAACTACCAAGATGCCCATCACTTGAGGAATGGCTGAAAAACATGTGGTATTTTTACACAATGGAGTATTATTCAGCTATTAAGAATGATAAACTAGAGATCCAGTCCTAGCCCAGGTCCAGTGCGTGTGTGCGAGAGCTTCCTGCTACCCTGCGCCAGCAGGAACAAATACCGGTCCCAGCCCAGGCACAGCGAGGGTGAGACCCTCTCCCATACCCTTGGGACGCCCCCCACCACTCCGCAGCACCTCCCCCACCTCGCCCGCTGAGTAGGAATTTCTGCCACGTTTCGGGAACCCCCAGACCCAGTCCTAGCCTAGACCCAGTGAGTGTGTGGGAGGGCTTCCTCTCCCCCGTACTCCACCTTGCTCCCTCCAGGCACAGCTCAGGCCTGGCATACATGCCTGGGTTGTAACCCTGCAGCTACAATCCCTGTAGAGAGTGTCGAGGATAGAACCACCCAGCTAGTCCAGGAGCAGAACATCTTGCCACAGGGGCACAACAGGTTCACCCTCAAGGGCAGCAGCAGGAAGGAGCTGAGCACACCAGCCAGACCCAAGCCAGGCACAGCTGGATAAATCCAAACTTTGTAGATCTGCAGCTGAACTTCAGGATGTGCTAAGCTTATAACTACAACAAAGATCTACTACAAAGGTCAGAAGACAGTGCTACACATAATGACGAGAAGGAACAAAATGCAACCTCAGAACCCAAGCCCACCCGTAACAAATGCAGAGGACACTAACACAGAACAAATTGGGAATCACACAGCTGAAAGCAATGAATCAACACCTTCTGAAATAAAGAAACAGCTGCAGAAAAGTACAGAGGAACTCAGATTAGAAATAAAAAAGAAATCCCTGAATTAATAACATCTGCAGTAAAGAATCAAATGCAGAAACATATGGAGGAAACCCAATGCCCACCCAGAACAAGTGCAAAGGACACTAGCTCAGCTCAAATGCATGAATTAATAGCGTCAATAGCAAATAAGCAACAGCAGAAAAATAGAGGAAATCAGAGTGCAATTCTTTTCTGAAATAAAAAAAGAACTCTCAGACCTCATAGCA